TACAACTAAGAATTGCTTAATAATAAATTAATACAAAAATAGTTTATCTTAGTGCAGTACAATCAAACATTGGTATTTGAAAAAGGTGTGTTATAATACAACACAATATAAATATATGAACTTGAGTTATTGAGTGCTGTACTGTTTGTGATATAGTTTCGATTACAGATTGTTGTGGTGTATTTTGCAAAACTATGATTGTAGTAAAATTAAGATAGCATGCAAGTTCTGTAAAGCGAAGTCTTGATAACCTTATGTCCATCCTAATCTGTGTCTTACAAATTTGTTCTTATATATGTAATTGAGCCTTCAGTTAGTAAAAAATTTTTACTACAACAAAAATTATTTACAAAGTTTAGACACAGTAAATGCTAGGGATTGGAACTGTCTAAAATTTTTCTTAATTGTTTAATCTTTTAATTTTGCTAGCATTAAAATAATTCCAGCCCACGACCAATATAATTCTGCTCAGAACTATGGTGCAATTTTTAAATAATTAAATGGTTCCAATCCCTAGTAGATGCTATAAATATTCGGAATTCGTATACATGATTAAGTTGAGAATGGTTAGTTTGTTTTAGATAATTTTGGGTTCAACAAATGCTAATAATTCTAATACTTATTTAGTGAAGTAGAACTAATTATATGTTTTCATTAAATGATGTTAATGATCCACAAAAATAGAACCCAGAAATGATAGTTGGCCATAATGATAATATTAGAAGGTAAGTTCACTTAACAAAATCAAAATTATGTATAGATGTATATCAAATTTTATATGAATTTTTTTAAAAAAATTAGTGATCAGAGATTATTTATTATTTTTTATATATATATTTTAATAGTAAAATCATATTTTTAGATGTTTAAGTGAATCACTTTATCCTTAATTATTTTAATATAAATCTATTCTTAAACATATTTATAACAAAGTTACATTTAAAATTTTTTTAACATTAATATTAAATTTCAAGTTGATTCTTTACAAAACCTCCTCTTCATATTATGAATTATTTAAAAAAAGATATTTTTGTTACAAGTAAAATTTTAATACTAGAATATAAAAATTTTTAATGTAACTTTGCTTTAAATTTGTTTAAGAATGCATTAAATATCCAAAAACATGTCCTCATTCTTTACTATTAAAATAGATACATAAAATGCTAAATAATCCTTAATCACTAAATTTTAAAAAATTCACATATATAATTTGATATACATCTATATATAGTTTTAATTTACATAGTTGAACTCACCACCAATATTTCATGAATAGCTGATCTGTCTTCAATATTTTAGAGATTAAATGAATGCGCAGAACTACAGCAATCATTTCATCAAAAACTGGTCAATAATAATTTCGCACACAATTATTAGCAATATTAATGATTAATATAATTTCAATCCTTAATACATACCATATAATGAATTAGAATAATGCTCTTTTTTAATAAATTAATAATTACTTAACCTTATGATTGAATATTGCTACTTATATAGTGAACCTGTGATGTACTCTATAGGCTTAAATCGATAATTCAAATATGTCTTATCTTAGTACACATATTTAGTGCTGAATTAATAATAGGAAAAAAATTAAGCTTAACTATTCTATATTTACTTGGAATTTTTAAATCTAAAGTAATCTTATTACATTTCTTAATCACTTTTTTAGTATTTTGCTCGTATTGCTGTGCAATTAGAACATTTCTAACTGCTTGACACACAAAATTTTTAAGTTATATAAGTATTCCTGGATTTTTTTTTAATTCCAGCAAGTTAGTAGCTTTTAGGTGCAATTGTAAAATTTTTTTCTATATGTCTTTGTTTATAAATTGGCATATTTCTTTCATTAAAGGTTCTTTTTCTCTATAAACCAAATTATTTAATAATAAATATTTATATTTTATAAATTATTATACAATAGGGTGAAACCCACACAGAAATTAATTGCATTGTTAATGCAAATTCTATCTAAAATAGTAACTAACCCTAATTAAGAATAGATCTGTATCAGATTTTCACACTTTCATATGATTATTGTTATATGTCACTATTTACCAGTTGTAGTTGTTTGAAAAATCATCTGCAAGATTTAAAATAGCCACATGAAGCTCATACCGATATACGTTGAACCAATTATCTATATTTTTGACTAATGTAGCCATTCTATAATCATTTTTTTGAATTTTACATACTCTAACTATTAATTCTTCATATAGTGCTAAAGTGTTGCTCCTTGTTTTGAGAAACAATGCTTTGCATTCTTCTTGAAGTTAAAACTTAACATGCTATGGAGAAAGGTTTAAAAAAAAAACCCTCAATGCATTAATGAAATATATTTATAAATATACAGTACATATACAATAATTG